AAATATAAATTCTTACAATTCACATACTATCAAAATTTAATTATAGTTATTCAGAATCGAGTTTTTGAGCAATTAACGCGTGTTTCAATCCGTCCTGTCCAACAATGTTCGCCTCGATATGATCTCTGATTTTGTTCAGATCTCGGATAGTTTCATCGTTAATATGCGAGAAATTAACCCGTTCCGTAGGCTCTGCGATTAATAAAAAATTACCGATCAACGTATGTCCAAATTATAATATATATCCCCTACAATTGGTAGTATGCTTACCTATCATCGTTCTTCTTGACAATTTTGCATCTTATTAACAGTTATTAAGGATGACACATAACAAACCAACAATACAGAAAGACAGCTCATTTTAAACTCTACTTGATCGGAGAGCGTGCGTGTTTATATATGATCTAATATCTATGTTTTACTCGTTAATGTCCTATTTGTCCTATTATTATTTATTGTTCGCTAATATATCCAAAATATCAAAATACGACTCGCTAAGTAACTCAGTATCTTTGTTTAAATTTAGTCCATTTTTTTGTTCCTTGATATGTAGCATTTTTTTCAAATCATCCGACTTGTCATAAAATAGGAACAATTTATAACTTGGTAGATAGAGCTTTATTACTATCACATCCGCAATTTCACAAAAAAAATATAGAGAAAGCTATTAACATTTTGCTATCCAACGGTTATCCTCTTGATCTAATTTTCACAGAAATAAAACGCAGATTAAAAAATCTCTCAACTAAGAAAATTAACAAGCCTAATAATAACAATATAACAGATACTAATAATACTAATACTAACATTAAATATTTTGTCATACCATATATAGAATTAATATCTGAGAAAGTTGCTTCAGCAATAAGAAGACCTGACGTAGTGGTAGGATATCGTTGCATTAAAAAATTGAATGACTTCATAAAAGTTCAAAAGGACAAAAATAATTGCCCCACGAATTCTAACGTTATTTATAAAATGAATTGCAACGATTGTGATGCCACATATGTCGGACAGACAAAAAGACAGTTAGGAACGAGACTTAAAGAACATAAAAATAATATTAAATTAGACTCTGCTAGACATTCGGTTGTCACTAAACACATTCTAAACGAACAACATACATTTGACTGGGACAATATTAAAATTATGGATCATGAAAAGAATTACCATAAAAGACTAATATCTGAAATGATCCACATTAAAGAACAGAAAAATGGAATTAATTTAAATAAAGACACCGAATTGTTAGACAGTAGTTATTTTGACATACTTAAAAAATTTGCTGAATCATAATTTAGAAAAAACATTGGTAATAAATAAATACATCACGCTCTCTATTTTGACATTTGGTATTCAGACTTCGCAACACACACTTGAAATATCGGGAAAAAGGACTTGTTAAAACGATAATGTAAGTTGAAAGATTTTTTAATTTTCTCTAACATTGATTTAATTTGCGCATTATATCCGCAGCATGTTTAAATATCGCATAACTTGGCATCTCAGACCAATCGCCTTGCATATCTATTGGTCAACAGCGAAGAATCGTTTTAATTTTATATTTTAATATTTAACTAACTTTGTATTTTTAACATTTAACTTTGTATTTTAATATTTAACTTTTATGTATTGATAAAGACTGTAGTGCAGTCGAAACTTTTACAATTTATATCGATTCTGTAACGGAATGTTATTTTAATTATTTAACTATTAATAAAATTTTTACACTTTATTTATTTGCTCGTTTAGTTGGCCTATTATATTTGATTTGTTTAATTTTGTTAATTTATACGAGCCTTTCATTAATTAATATTCAACATACTTATTTTTGGTTTGATCTTTGAGACATCATACCACTGTGCAAATTCATAAAGAGATATATTTTTTAATTTATTTGATCTATGTGGCTAAAGATCATCTATTAAGGACGGATAAAATATATCTGTAGATTTAAGATTAAGAGCTTCAATTTCCTTATAATTTTTTAATCTTTTACGTCGTATTTGATTAACATCTAACCATCTAATAGTTGTACTTCGATCAGTTTCATACAAAGAAATACCTAACAATGTATCAACAACTTCGAGAGCTTCACATTCTCTATTATTCACAAATCGCATACTTATATTCCAAAGACGACTTACTAATTTCTTATTATTATTATTATTATTTTTAGTATTAAGAATAGAATCAGACAATTCACATTTTGCTGCTTTATTTATATATTTAGTAATGTATAAAATAAGCAGCGATGATTTTTCACTAATAAATTGTATATCCATATTACCTTCCCATGCAGTAAAAAGAACAGGATTATAATCATTTATATTAATTTCATTCTCCGTTCGAGAAAGATCGTAAAGTCTACTTTTTTGTTTTAATTGTTTTCTACCTGCTATTGAAGTTGCTACATTTCTCATGTTAAAAGTTTCAGTAACGGGACGAGAAAATCCAAAACGACATCGACGAATAGCTTTACGACCTACTTTTTTGGAGTAAAGACAATAATCGTTGTGTTTATGTCGTTGATGCGTATCAACACGTTTGTACAATAATGGTGAAATATTTTCATTTGGCATTCTGCAGCTTATATGTTGTAAAATAAATTTGGAAACTGTTTAGACACGACTACAAATTATAATGAGAAGGCTATTGATCAGCTCGTTAAACCTTCAAATTTGAAAACACCAAGGAGCGTATGTAAATGTTTTCGCTCCTCGGTTCGCGTTCACCGATGTTTGCGTCCATTTAGACACGTGTCATCCGGCTGATGCGTGATTTTGGTTCCCCTTCTCAGTCGGGAAAATCAGGAAGTTTCGCCGTACGTGGCGATTCTCGTTTAATCTGTAAGAAGCTGTTGAGCGAGAACATGCTCTCAAGGAATATAATATTTTTCAAAAGTTAAAAGATTCAAAGTTGCTCCGCCTTCAGTATCTCCTCGCCACTGCTCCCTTGGTTCCTACCTCGCGCTCTTTCGGAGCGGTCCCGGCTATTCATTAAAGTTCACATTAAATCGATAAAAAAAAAAACCGAAGAAGAAAACTTCGAAGTGTGAACATAAAAGTTGGTCCTTCGAGCCGGATCGAGGTAACCCACGGTGAAAGCAGTGCGGTCGTCTCTCTCTCTATCTCTCTCTGCTGGACCTCAGTGACGGAGTCATCGTGTCGCCCGCACCCAAGGTGGAGACAGCCAACACGATGAGCGATCATCTCTCGCAGCAGCTAACAATGCTGCAATCTGTAGAGCGAGCGCTCTCCAACTTTAAAAAAGTTGGCAGAGCCAATTATACAGCGGCTAAGATTCGTCAACGAATGTCAACCTTGAAGGAGACCTGGACACGGTGCATCGAGAAGCACGCTATCTTGGCACGGGCGTTCACCGCCGAGCAGCAGCGGACCATGGACTACTTTTCGAACACGATTTTCGAAAATTGCGAGGAGTACTACGAGACAACCCTCGACTACATGGCCGACTGCCTCAAAGAGCTGGATCCAACGCCCACCAGAACGAGCCTGTCGCAGTCCACGATAAGTACCGCTGAACCATCGTCTTTTTCTTTAACTCATTTGCCGCCGATTCAACTACCGCCGTTTTCGGGAAATGTCGAGGACTGGGAGAGCTTCCGCGATCGCTTTACTTCTTTCATAATTCAAAATACCGAATTAACTGCATTTTCGCGGATGCATTTCCTAGCTTCAAGTCTCACCGGTCGTGCGTTCGACACTATAAAATCTATTCAAATCACCGCGGATAATTTTGATATCGCGTGGAAAACATTAGTTTCACGATTCGACAATAAGCGACGGCTCGTCGACGTGCACGTATCAGCGCTATATTCTCTGCCGACGGTCGCTCGCGAATCCGCTGTCGAACTTAACGCACTTCGCGACAAAGCGAATCGCGCTATCGCTTCTTTAAAAAATTTAAATCGATCACCCGATCAAATGTTGAGCGATATGTTAGTTTTTAGCGTCACGCAAAAACTTGATCACGCCACTCGGAAAGCGTGGAAGTTAAAAACCGGTGACGACCCGAACATTCCTTCGTATGAAGCTCTCGACCGATTTCTCGACACGCGCATTCGTGCATTGGAGGAAATCTCTCCGGCTAATGCTTCCAAATTCTTGCGCGCGCCAAAGGTTACCAGTGCTAACGCCACTGCCGCTGGTTTATCGTGCCCATTATGTCGGGCCGCGCATTTCATCAACAAATGTCCGCAATTTTTGAGGAGGACTCCGAGTCAACGCCTTGAAGTCATTTTAAAAGCGAAGCGATGCGTCAATTGTTTGAGCGCAAAGCACGCTGTACAAACGTGTCCAAGTCAATACTCATGCAGAACTTGCCAAAGCAAGCATCACTCGATGCTGCACGTTGACTCGGCTTCTTCCTCAACTGCATCCGCTGTCTCTCAAAAAAACGAAACCTCGTCGAGTGTGTCGTCGGACTCTATCGCGATTACTTCGGCCACGGCATTATGCTCCCAGCTAACAGGCGTCGCGCTCCCGCAAATGTTACTCGCGACGGCCCGCGTCACCGTCGGTGCACCGTCGGGTCGGACTCTCACCGTGCGAGCGCTTCTCGATCAAGGCTCGGAGATCACCTTCATCACGGAGCGTCTCGCACAAACTCTCAGAATGCGTCGCATTCGCCAACCGCTCTCGATTTCCGCCGTCGGCGGAATGAACGCCGGAACTTGTCAATTCGCCGCTAAGATTCGGATCGCTCCGATCAATCAAGCTGCTCCCGTGTTCACGACAACCGCGTCGATTCTCAGATCTCTCACAAAATATTCGCCTTACAAGGCAAATTCCAGCTATGATTGAAGCTATATAAGCGATCTCAATCTGGCCGATCCGAATCCAACAAGCGCGGACCCGATCGAAATCCTGATCGGAGCAGACTTATATGGCGAATTGCTGCTTAGCGGCGTTTGTAAAGGCGCCCCTGGGCAGCCAATTGCGCAGCAAACCATTTTCGGCTGGGTTTTGTCGGGGCCCATGTCCGAGCTGTCGACGCAATCGCGAGCGATCACCGTTCAGCATTGCGCGAATTCGGAGGCTCTAGATCAGGAGCTCAGACGATTCTGGGAAATCGAAGAAACTCCTCGACAGGCTCTCCTCAGCCCTGAAGAGCAGCAATGTGAGAAGCATTTCACAGCCACGCATTCGCGCGGTGCTGACGGTCGATACACAGTGCGCCTTCCGTTTAAGAGCGGTCCGCCGATCGACATCGGCGATTCGCGCCACACGGCTGAACGCTTCCTGCGAGGATTGCATCGTCGCTTCCTTCTACATTCCGACCTTCGTGCGGCCTACGCCGAATTTATGCACGACTACGAATCATTAGGACATATGAACGAAGTGAAGAGCGATCAAGTTGCCTCGCAGGAAGTGTATCTCCCTCATCATCCTGTCATTCGCGACAGCAGCGTCACGACAAGATTGCGAGTCGTATTTAACGCGTCGAGTCTGACGACCAATTCAACGTCGTTGAATAATCACTTGCTCACCGGGCCAAAGTTACAAGCGGACTTATCGGCTGTCATTCTGCGCTGGCGACAGTTCCGCTACGTTTATGCTGCCGATATAACAAAAATGTATCGCCAAATAGTTATGGACCCGCGTGACATCGATTACCAGCGAATTCTATGGAGCGGCGCTCCTTCAGAACCCGCTCGAGCTTATCAGCTCACTACTGTCACATACGGCACAGCCTGTGCGCCATTTTTAGCGCTACGCGTCATTCGTCAGCTTGCTCAAGATGAGGGTAGTTCTTTCCCACTCGCTGCTATTGTTCTGCAGCAAAATACTTATGTCGATGACATTCTCTTCGGGGCGGACGACATACCTCTCCTTCGTCAAGTTCGCGAGCAGGTATGCGCGTTGCTTCGTCGAGGCCGATTCGAGCTGAGAAAATGGGCGAGCAACTCTTCTCAACTCCTCAGCGATATCTCTAGCGCAGATCACGGCCTAGTTTGCGATAAAATGCTTCAAACAGATGACCATCTTAAAATTCTCGGCATCCGGTGGAATCCGTCCTCTGACGCCTTTCAATTTAACGTCACACTTCCGCATTCCGAGCAGACTACCAAACGGTCGATCCTTTCAACTATCGCGAGATTGTTCGATCCGTTGGGGTGGAGTACTCCGGTTACTGTTGTCGCGAAGATTTTCCTTCAGAAACTCTGGCAGCTCAAAATCGGATGGGACGACGCGCTTTCCACTGACATTCTCGATCGCTGGGACTCCATTTGCTCATCTCTCGCCGCTCTGCACGGTCTTCAATTGGACCGCTGGATTCAACGCGGTGCAGATAGCGTCAGATGCGACTTACACGGTTTTGCAGACGCATCTTCGCACGCTTACGCTGTCGCCGTGTATATTCGAACAGTTTCGTTATCCGGTGAAATAACAGTACGATTGTTAATCGGAAAATCAAAAGTCGCGCCGATAAAAACATTAAGTATTCCACAGCTGGAACTCGCCGCTGCCGTGTTACTCGCGAAACTAATCGATTTTGTCAAATCATCCCTGCATCTCCCTGCAGATTCTTGCCACTGTTGGACCGATTCCACGGTAGTTCTCGCGTGGGTGGCGCAACATCCATCAAAGTGGAAGACGTTCGTCGCGAATCGCGTCTCTGAAATACAATCTAGACTCCCAAACGCGCAATGGAGACACGTCCCCACTGATCACAACCCCGCGGATTGCGCGTCACGCGGTATACCCGGTGAGAATTTTACCTCTCACACGCTCTGGTGGCGGGGACCTGCTTGGTTACATTTTTCTGAATCCGAATGGCCGGCGCCATTCGATTCGTCTCTTTCGATGCCCACGATGGAGCGAAAAGAAAACGCGGCGTCTCATCTCGTGTCGCGACGAAAACCATGGGACCTTGCCGCACGGTACTCTTCGTGGCCGCGTTTAATTCGTGTCACCGCCTACATCATGAGATTCATCTCAAAGCTTAAAAGACACTCGGTGCCGCGCGACACATGCGACGAAGGCTCCCGGTCAATTTCCGCGCTCGAATGTAGAAAAGCACGAGACTTTTGGTTGTTGCAAATTCAATCAGAATTATTCGCGCGGGAAAAGGAATCTTTGTTGCAGCAACGTTCGATTCCAGCAAAGAGTGCATTGTTGTCTTTCACGCCATTTCTCGGCGAAGACAAACTAATCCGCGTTGGCGGGCGGCTGTCGCGTGCCCCCATGCGGTTCTCCGAAAAACATCCTATAATCTTAGCTGCACATCCTCTTGTGAACCTCCTCGTGCAGCACGTGCATTTAAGATCTCTTCACGCGGGGCCTCAATTAACTCTAGCTACTCTTCGTCGAGAGTACTGGATATTGCGTGCTCGAAATATCGTCAAAGCTGTCGTTTTCCGCTGCGTAGTATGCACGCGTGAAAAGGCAGCTACTCCCAATCAATTGATGGGAAACTTGTTTTCGGTGCGCGTTTCTCCTCCTGCGCGCGCATTTATTAATTGTGGTCTCGATTATGCTGGTCCCGTTTTAATCAGATCAATGTCGGGACGCGGTGTCGCTTCCCGCAAAGCCTACATCTCCATCTTCGTCTGTATGGCCACGCGAGCCATACATTTAGAATTAGTCGAGAGTTATTCCACTCCAGCCTTCTTAGGCGCCTTTTCAAGATTCTGCTCCCGACGTGGCATGCCTGAATCAGTCTACTCTGATAATGGAACCACTTTTGTAGGCGCCGATCGCGAATTGGCCGCATCATTTCGAGCCGCGCTGCGCGATCCAAATTTTCAAAATAGTGCCGCTTCCGACGGGGTGTCATGGCACTTTATGCCTCCATCCGCGCCTCACTTCGGCGGACTATGGGAGGCCGGGGTTCGCAGTGTCAAGTATCATCTTTGCAGAATCGTCGGTTCACACACTCTTACGTTCGAAGAGTTCACAACGATTCTCTGCAACATTGAGGCCTGCCTAAACTCGCGCCCTATCGCGCCTCTCACCGATTCCGTCGACGATTGCGATTCTCTGACGCCCGGTCATTTCTTGATCGGATCCGCGATTACGATCGCGCCTGAACCCTCTGTACTGCATCTAGATGAGAACCGCTTGACGCGCTGGCAACTTGTTCGCCAGCTCACCGAACGTTTCTGGAAAATCTGGCAGCAGGACTACATCAATACCTTGCAACAACGCGTCAAATGGAAGCAAGTTTCGAACAACGGAGTTCGCGTCGGGTCGCTGGTCCTGTTACGCAATTCTCTCCTTCCGCCTTGTAAGTGGGACTTAGCTCGCGTCATCCGACGTCACCCGGGTCCAGACGGTTTGATTCGCGTCGCGACGGTGAAAACCGCGACTTCCGAATATACTCGGCCTATTGTCAAATTATGCTTACTTCCGATAGACGTCGAAAGCCTGGACAACCTTACGTAATTAAGGTCAGACTCCAGATATCGCTTTGAACTCATCCTGTAAAACGACATACCGATCGCTTCACCAGTCGCCCCTTTTTTTTGTTGTTCAAGTCATTTCGAAACGATGGTTTCGAGGCGGGCGGTATGTTTAGACACGACTACAAATAATAATGAGAAGGCTATTGATCAGCTCGTTAAACCTTCAAATTTGAAAACACCAAGGAGCGTATGTAAATGTTTTCGCTCCTCGGTTCGCGTTCACCGATGTTTGCGTCCATTTAGACACGTGTCATCCGGCTGATGCGTGATTTTGGTTCCCCTTCTCAGTCGGGAAAATCAGGAAGTTTCGCCGTACGTGGCGATTCTCGTTTAATCTGTAAGAAGCTGTTGAGCGAGAACATGCTCTCAAGAAATATAATATTTTTCAAAAGTTAAAAGATTCAAAGTTGCTCCGCCTTCAGTATCTCCTCGCCACTGCTCCCTTGGTTCCTACCTCGCGCTCTTTCGGAGCGGTCCCGGCTATTCATTAAAGTTCACATTAAATCAATAAAAAAAAAAAACCGAAGAAGAAAACTTCGAAGTGTGAACAGAAACTTTTTCAACAATAGATTCACCAAAAATCGGTGCATTTTTAATCGAAATCAATAAATGGAAATGTTGTATACCTCTACCTTGGTATTCTCGTCGCCAAAAATAGTGCGTTACTTCACCAATTGGATGATCGTCGGAGCTAATAAAGTCAAGCATTGCTCGAAATTGATTGTCAAGAAATCTCGACGTTGATACAGGATCTTTAGCAACAAGTTTGCTAACGGATATAGAAGCATCATGCCATTTATTTACTTCACGAATATATTCACCTAAATCTTCCCATAACCATTCATTCAAACTAAGTGTTAAAAACCATGCCGCAGGTCCATAATGCTGCGTCATGCACCTTAGATTACTTCTCGGTTTACGCCAATATTGTTCCGTATTTTGAAGTTTCGTATTTAGAAAATATTGTTGTTAGATCAGATTCCAACTGTTCTTTTGACAATGCTTCTAAATACTCTGCAGCCGTATAACGATCTTGAGGATTAGTTGTATTCAATTTATGATAAATTCCACGTCTTAGCTGACGAATATTGGCATCATTCAATAAATAAAATAAATATTGTTGGTTTAATTTGTATTTTGGATGTTTAGATGTCAAACGACATTTAATAAATTCATGATCATAAAGTTTGACTTTTCTACTTTCACGTTGTCCATTAATACCAACAGGATATAAATCTGGAAAACACATTAAATCTAAATCTTTTTCACGATTATCCAAAAGTGCATTTTTAACTTTTAACATTTGGTACAATTCTGTAGAAGTTTTATTTGCTTTTTTTTCATATAAGGGATAAATAGTGTATTCTTCATAATAACCATCTTTTTCATCTGTAACTTGAGTTAACATTGCCTTATGTTTATTGTCTAATATATTTTCAACACCATTTTTTGTCTGATCTATTGGATCATCTATTAACTCATTATCAGGTTCGTCATCTAATATCACTTTTGTCTCTTCTACTTGAAATTCTGAATTTTTTAATTGTTTAAAATGTTTAATTTATTATGATCATTTGGCAATATAATGTTAGAGTATAAAAAATTGTTGTCCTTTAACCATGTTAAAGCGTCAAAAACTTTTTTAACATTAATCATTTCTTCCCAAATAATCTTTGATTTGGTCGGGATACTTCTAATTAAAATATATAATTCGTTATTAACATTTATTGGATCAGTATCCAAGCATAATTTCTTTAGTATCTCCTGTAACGGAAGTGGTAAATGAAATGTTATGCTTTTAACTTTTTGTATCATTTTCCTTTGAGGCAATTTTTTATTAATAACAGTTCCCATTTTGACGACAGTTTGAAATGCTTTAGCTCTTTTGCAACGTCTTTTCCTGCTCCGAAACGCCAAGTTCGGACAGGGGAGCGTTCAATTTAAATATTTTACTAATTTGAACCCTAATACGGTAAAGTTCGGTAACGAAAGAGTTACTTACTCGTACTTAGGTACTTTCGGTACTCACGGTACAGTTGGGCGCCAGGCGCATGTAAATGCGCCACGATATTCTTGAAAACGGTACTTAAGGTAACTTATTAAAATTCGATATAGAGTCGCGGGTCTAGAGGATGATAGTCGATGGTTGAGAGAGAGGTATAGAGAGACATACACGTGGTGATAAAATTTGACATATATATATATATATATATATATATATATATTTGACATTTAAGACTAACAATGGTACATATGATTAGTATAATTGGACAATATAAATACAAAATAACATTAATGTATGGATTAGCGGTATGAACAAAAACGGCCTACGTTTTCAGGCCGTTATATAAATTTTCTTTCGAACCATCCGATGCGTTATAAAATTAGTGTGATCACAAGCCTCGTGGACAGGGCTATTTTACTCGCTGACCCTATGTTTCACGAGAAAAACATCATCTTAGTCAAACGAATTCTTCGTAACAATTGTTACCCGTCAACAGTCATAAACAAAATCGTTAACAGGAGACTTAGGGCGATTAAATTTGGCGGTAATTTTGGTGCGTCTAATCGAGATAAATTTGATACACGAAATGTTATAGTGTTGCCGTATATTAGAGATTTGAGCGAAAATATTACTCGTTGCATAAACAAAAATGGAATCGGTGTATTATATACCGTTCCAAAAAAATTAGACACTTTCATAAAAAGAGGAAAAGATAGTATTGATAACTTAAAAAAATCGATGTCGTTTATAAGATCGAATGCGCGAATTGTGACTCTACATATATTGGACAAACAAAGCGACATTTAGAAACACGTATTAAGGAACATAAAAATAACATCAAAAAAGACACGACATCACACTCAGTTGTTAGTTTGCATCGAACTTGCAACGATCATGAGTTCCGTTGGGATTCTCTTGTGATTCTGCATCAAGAAAAACAAACAAGAAAAAGAGAAATAGCAGAAATGTTCTATATAAAAAACCAAAGAAAAAGCATTAATTTACAAAAAGATACGGAGAATTTCAGTGGGATTTATGATCGCGTTCTTGAAGCTATTTAATATATTATATTGTCATATGTTACATATTTATTTATTTATTTATTTATTTATTTATTTATTTGACTTTGTATTGACGGTTTAAAAATTGCGAAAGACACAGTACTTTGGTTTTCTATTTTCTCAACGCGTAGTGACTAAGTTTCCTTCTAACAGTCAACATCTATTTATTTCGTGCTTACTTCTGTCAGTTATACATTGTTCATCAAAACAATGGTTAATTTTGTCGGGGGTTTGCTGTAAATATGATTTATTGTATTAATCTGGTATGTAAACATATATATTTTTGTAAATTTATAATTATTTGTATGATTAAGCGCATTAAGAGTATATTTATATGTATATAATTGTTTATAGATTACTTGAAAAGGGCTGCAATGACAGCCGAAACGTTGTAAATTAAACTAATTATTTAAAATAAATTATTGCCAGTCTGGTCGACTTTAAAATTGGAGGAGAGATTTTCGTAAATTATAATGTACGATAATCGCTCGCGAAAACGATTGACTGTCGGCGGCACTTTTCGGAGAGGGCGATCTCGAAGTCGGCCGGCTCCGCGGTATATCTGTCTCATTTGCACTCTTCAATTCATAGTTGAGTGAGTGAGATAGCTATTGGACACCACTAAATAACACCACGTCTTGTATTGCTTTCTCTCTCGATTATACGATGTTTGAGAAAGATGCAATATCGGAGTACCTCCTACTACTTTTTCCTTCGCTCCTTGATCTCCGCCGCGCTTTAAGCGACACATACAATGTCGCGCTATGTATGTGTGTATATAATTTTTGGCTGTCATATACCTATACACACATCTGAAATCTGACGCCGGGCACCATTCCTGCCGGTTAGTGTACATCATCAACATTATATTTACGATTTACGCGACAACAAGCCAACTTACCTTGTTGGACTCTTAAGATGCCGTATGGTAGTATTATTTAAATGGCGTCTGTTTGGGTATCGATTTTGGTACAGTTTCGCAGCTTCACGATAATTGCCAAAAACTTATCCCAAAACTAATAAAATATCGACCATTTCTGAAGAAGTATAATCAGCTATGTAATATAAATATAAATCTAAATCATAAGGAAGGCGTAAAGAGCCTACGCGGATGTTTTCTACGTACATTTACAACGAAACTAAATTTTTGTTGGAAACAAAGCGTGCGCAAGGCACGTATTATTCTCGGTGTACCAACCAAGACTTTAAAAATTGAAATAATCTCTTACTTGAGATTTAATTTCAAAAACCCCAACCCCCCTGCAGAAATAATTAAATAAATATAAGAGAAAAATATAGATCCGAAAAAGAGGGTGCGTTTCCGGACATATGTTTATCAAGAGACACGGTAGTGTCTCGCGACCAGTTAAGGGCGTAGCGGAGACACCGTGTATCTTAACGCGAGTCGGACATTTGAGTCTTTATAATATTTCGAGTCCTCAATAATGGCTGAAGCAATCGAGTTTATACTAGACTTAATCGATAGATTGAGTTCGAATTATATAATACAAGTGTCTTTATTTCTGCTCTACGTGATTTGTAAGCAGAGATATATAAATGCAAAGTCGAAATATGAAAAATTTCTATTAAGAAACGTCCCCGTCATCATTATTATCATCATCGACCACGCATACATAGTAGTATCGTGTTACACGTATTCACACGTATACAACACATGCGTACACGTACACAACACATGCAAGATGCATGTAGTGGTAATCTTGTCCATCTCGCACGTTTTACAACAGATGGCGATAGTGGCGCTCCGCCATATCGGCAGCGTGCGGGGTTATGTTGGCTAACTCTCTCTCTCTCTCTCTCTCTCTCTCTCTCTCTCTCTCTCTCTCTCTCTCTCTCTCTTTCTCACGCACACACACACACACACACACACACACTCTCATTCTCACTCACTCA